TTTCCCCTTCCATCTTCAAAACATCTTTTTGAAAAAGGGAATACATTTCTCTTTCTTATATTTTACTGGAGAAAAAGGGCTTCATGTTAATCAGGAAGGCTGATTGGTATCTCACCAGGACTGATGGTGGAACTGGGATTCCAACTTGGGTCTTCTGGTTCTGAGTTCAGAGCTCCTTTTGCAATTCATGTTGTTTCTTCTTGTTTTTCTTTTTGTATCAGAGCAGTGCATGGCACTTTTGGATATAGGTTAATATTTGAAGGTAGAGGGATACTCCATGACTGAAATCTCTTGCAGATGGATTAGGGTTCAGAACCCTAATTTGAAAATGGGCCAGCTGTTAGAAAAACTTGCCGAGACACTTTTTATGTTTGAGCTTGCCAGAACTGGGGCAAGGGGGAAAGACATCTGGAGACAACTCGAGAGCTCCTCACGTGTTCCCGAGTCTAAACCACCTGGCTCTAAACAAATTCCTAGCAATGTAGCCCAAAGTTGAAGTTTCTAGATTTGACCAGGGTTAAAAAGAAACCTGAATCTGGCAACTTACCCAGATTCCATTGGAGTCAAAGATGTGGCTATGGAGACAAAATTCTCTGAGTGCCCAGAGATTCTGGGTTGAGGTTTGTAGCAGACACTGTGGATGCCAGGTCCTTATCACACTCACCTGTAGACCTCTATACTTGTGGGTCCCAAGGGCAACTCTGAGGGTGCCCTAGCTGCCCAAAGTGTAGACTTGTTTCTTAGTACAAATCCAAGAGCCTGTACCCAGGCAGGAGGCCCGGTTCAAACAGGTGCACTTCACTGACTCTTCTGAACACATGTAGGTTTTGGAAACTGCCTGTAGTTTTGAAAATTATCTTTATTAAAAAAATTGAAACTTAGAGAACTGTAAAGGTATTTCTTTTGGAGAAATATTTGCTCCAAGACATAAGTTCACTTATTAAGAATGCAGCAAATCTTCAAAAATTAGATTCTTATGATAATGGTCATGATACTTTCTTGGCTGTTGCTCTATTTGGTCCTCTTAATTCATTATTGAGGTAGAGAGAGAGAAGAGGGCTAAGGTACGTGGCATGTGACTTGCCTAAGATCACATAGCTTGCTAGTGGCAGACCTGTGTCTAGAACTCCCCAGGCCCTAGCCTTTGACCGCTTACTGTTCCTGCCATGATCCTCTGCCCTCCGACAGATGTATTTTGTCAGAGTCCCTTGACTCCGAGGGCTCCTATGAACTTCTCAGGTGGCACATGGTACTGCCAATCCCCAAAGGTCAAAAGGACCAAGTAGGTTAGTTGTGTGAGAGCTGACAAAAAAATCACTTTGCTCAGACTCTGTTCAATGCCCAGTGGCTTCTGCTATTTCTGGAAACCTCTACTTCCTTCCCACAGAGAAATATTCAGCTCTGCAGGTCAACCCTGCCCTCCTAAGAAGCAGGTGCTCCCTTTGCCTCTCTTGGTGGAAAGACAAAGAAGGGGAACATATTTATGCCCATTTCAACTTGTGCTCTCTGAAAATGATTTTGAGAAAATCTGGTTACAAATATGTATTTCTTAAGTATTAAGCTCCTAAAATATGCTAGACCTTGCGCTAGGCACATACCAAAATGTCACAGCTGGTGTCAGAGCAGGCAGACTTTCGGATGCAAACACACACACAAGGAAAAACTAAACTGAAATACCTAAAAGGTGTCACATATCAAAAATCTGCTTGTAAACATCTGTTCTTGCTCCTTGGAAATGTTTGCCTTCAAGGCTGCCTCTGCAACTCAATTTAAATCAAACTCATTGGGTAGAGATGGGTTGTTAGGAAGGCACAGTTAATGTGATATAATCAGCTTGACCATGAACCACCTCCTGAGGGTTTGGAACCTACCCAGAACTTTTACCACTGGATCATCTTTGCCTATCAGAAATAAATCCTTGGCATTTGGTTGCAATCAATCACTATTTGCAAATTAAAGTAGAAAATATCAGCGGATTTACGTAGGCTTATTTTCTTGGTTGGCACAATACCAAATTTAAGGAAAAAAATCACTGCATTTTAAATGTATGGGCATGCTGGGTTGAATAGAGATTTGGTTTTATCATTTCTCTATCCCAATTCAGAAGACCACTTGCTATGTCCTGTGAATCTAGAGATGATTTGGTGTAACCCCACTAGAGCTTGAACTTACATTTTAAAAAAACATGTATTTTTTCATTATAAGTGGACATAATATCTTTATTTTATTTGTATGTGGTGCTGAGGATCGAACCGGGTGCCTCACACATGCTAAGCAAGCACTCTACCACTGAGTCACAACCTCAGCCCCTTGAATTTACATTTTTGGAAGTTTTTTTTTGGTACCAGGCATTGAACCTGGGGTGCATAACCACTGAGCTACATCCCCAGCCCTTTTTTTGTATTTTATTTAAAGGCAGGGTCTTGCTGAGGTGCTTAGGGCCTTGCTGAGTTGCCGAGGCTGGCTTTGAACTCACGATCCTCCTGTCTCAGCCTCCTGAGCTCTTGAGATTGTAGGCATGTGCTACTGAGCCTGGCTAAATTTTTTGGAATTTGAAAACTTGTCCTTTTTTTTTTTTTTTAAATTCTTTATTGTACAACTGCTGTCCAGGCAGAGCAAGCTGAGAGATGGGCCAGTTCCCAGCACAAAGCAAGTCAACCATGAGCTCAAGGTCAAGTTTTGCTTTTACCTTAATTTTGGGGGGAGGCTGAAAATTAAATTGGCTTCTTGGTTATTCATGTGCTGACTTCCTATCCCTTTATTAATTCCTAATTTTCTTAATGGAATTGGTTGATCTGAACTCGAGGTTATAGGAAGATAGAAAAAAAAATGGATAAAAATCCCATAGGGATTTTGCTGGGTTTTAGAAGGAATTGAAGGTTTTCCTAAAATGAGTCAGTTGTTAGATACTATGAATTGAGATAGTTCTATCATTGATGAACTTTACTGATGCTATTTCATCTAGGCATTGTTTGGTTTACTGTTACGGATTTCATATTCTCAATTTTCATCTTCTCTATTTAGTTGTCATTTACCAAAGGCAGTATCAATTTGGTTTCCCTTTGTCCATAGTGGAAAATATTTAAAACTTTGTATTCTCTTCAGGTGTACAAAATTCACTCCATGCCTTGTGAATCGTACCTTGTATTGTTCACCACTTTACCCATCTGGGCCATTTGTTTGCCATCTGTATATATTTGATTTTGAAATCCTTTTTCTAGTCTCCAAGCCCATTCATTTCAGGGCTGGAGTCTTGGCTTCACCATTTATTAACTATGTGCTGTTGGATGAGTTACTTCTCCAGGGCTCAGTTTTCTTATCTCAAAGATAGGTATAAGAATAGTACCTAGTTCTGGATGTTGTTTTAAAGGTTAAATGTGTAATCTACATAAAGTGCTTAGCATAGAGTCTCATCCATAGTAAGAATTCTACAAAGATTAGGTAGGTATTATTATTAACTACTATTTCAGGTAGCCACTCTCTCCTCAGAAAGTGGTGTTCGACAAAGTTTGAACAAGAAACCTTTCTTAGGATCAACCTAAATTGTGAACCATTGGAGATACTGGCCATGGAAACTTGACTGTATTATAATAAGCAATAGACTTTGAGGCTTTGGGATTAAATTGATAGTTTGATCAATCTCTGACATTATGGCAGAATTGGGGCAAATTATTTGACCTTTTTCTGACTCAACCTCTCATTCAAAAAGTAGACATGATAATAATTACTTTATAATAGTGTGGTGAGGGGCAAGTGAAACATGTGAAATGTTTAAGAACAGGGTTTGATACATAATATATGCTCAGTAAATATTATCCACTATTGAAAACAGTCAATCAGTTTTCCACCCATTATGTACATGTTTGTTTCTGGGGAGATGAATTTAAAGATAAATATAAAGAGATGAATATAAAGAATTTCAAAATAGATGGTCTTGGAAAATTTGGGAAATTTGGAAGCTAAAACTTTTGCCTTCTTTCCCACTTCCTTAATTCCCTGCACTCCTCCTGCTCCCTCCACCCACTTATATTTTATTCACAAAAGTAGAGACCAGGCCTCTCTGTCCCGTCTTTTGGAGAATCTCAAAGGTTGACTAATCTAATACTGTCAATTCTCAAGAGAGGAAGCTGAGTCCCGTAGATTTCCCACAGCTAATTTCAACAGACCACTTTGCTGGGTCATTTATTTACCAGATGACTATGGGTTTGACAAGTGGGAAAGGGGTTTATAATCCAACACATGGTTGGTTTAAGAATTCCCCTCTGTTTTCTTCCATCTTGCTCTTTCTGTGCTGCAAACCTTGCTCAATGAAGCCCTGGTCCAGTCAATATTTCAAGAGACCTCCTCTGTTTTCTGCAGTGGGACCTATGCCCTGTGACCTTCCATAGCATGAAGACCTTGCTTCCTGATGGGTAATGTTTTTCCTTTCTCCGGACTTGCTGGAGCTTATTCTCATTGCCCTGCTGGCTCATTTGTTTCCTTGGGCTGGCTGCCTTGTTTGGCGGTTTTTAGCAAGGGCTCTGACAGATGCCAGGAGGTGAGGGAAGGGCTCCCGACGGACTCCATCATTGGTCGAGCAGACTCAGTGATGGATGAGCCTCTCTCCAGGGAGTTTTGGGTCAGGAGAAGTCCAACAGATAAGTTTCTCCAGAATGGAGTAAGCCAGAAACAGCACCAGTAAGATCTTACCTCTCTTGTGGCTTTTCGTGTTGATTTTAAAGGAAATTCTCAGCTGCAGTTCCACATCTTACTAAGAAACACAGCTACATCCACGATAGACTTAGACATATGTGACACAAATTGCTTTAGAAATAATATTCGGAGGAGAAGGGCAGGAGGAAGGAAGAGAGGGTCTTTAAAAAATCCCTATCAAAATATTTTCTTTCTTCTAAGTATTGAAAAGGCACAATATAACCCTTTCTTCTTCCAAATGATCTCATAGCTATTTATTGAGGGGAAATACCAAATGCTTATTATTATTTTTTTCTTTTACAGAAGCTTCTTCGGTCTTGATGATTCATGTCGATATCATTTTCCTCCCAACTACAGAGACTCTGAGACAAAGCTACACCCCAAGTGATATGCCGATGTCAGAACAATTCCTGTCCTGAAGGGGGGTGTGCGACCTTCTTTATTATTCCCCCTTCACAGACGTCCTTGAGCCCTTGAGACGGATGTGAGTGAGTTTTTCAGCCCTCATGCAAAACAACCATCTAAACATAACAGATGACATCAGCTTGGGCTTTTCAATTCCTGGATGGCAGCAGTGTGTTAATCCAGCCTTCATCCTGGATTTCATAAACTAAAACAAGAGAGGCTGGCAGGAGGACAGCGCTGCTGCTGGGTTGAGGAAATTGATGACGGGGAAGCATGCGGGCAACCCAGTGTATAAAACTCATAAACGTGTAGGCAGAGACTCAGCTACCACTTTGGACTCTGCTTGCTACCAGCAAAGACCACAACTCGGAGCCGAGCCTGAGCCCACAGAGAAACATGAGGAGCCTCTTGCTGCTGACCACACTCCTTGTACCTGTGCACCTGGCTGTGGCTTGGAGTATCAAGTATGCCGTGGACTGTCCAGAACATTGTGACAGTAGTGAGTGCAGAAGCAATTTGCACTGCAAGAAGATGGTGCTGGACGACTGTGGCTGCTGCCAGGTGTGCGCTGCAGGGCTGGGAGAAACCTGCTACCGCACGGTCTCAGGCATGGATGGCGTGAAGTGTGGCCCGGGGCTGAGGTGTCAGTTTTACAGTGAGGAGGATGATTTTGGTGAAGAGTTTGGTATCTGCAAAGGTAAAGAGTGACCCCTTGCTTCCTCCATCCAGGGCTCCCTGGGGGCTTGTAGGTAGTTTGGGAGGTGAGGTGGCTTTGCTCTTCAGGATGAAGAGGGAAGATGCAGGTCCCCTACAGGTGTTGTCCTGGGAGGAAAACTACACCCAGCATAGAAACCAGTGTGCAGGGAGCATGGAATGAAATGTAGCACTGTACCCATTATGATTAGGATATTTAAGAAAGTTGCAATGGAAGATGCATTACCTCTTTTTCTGGAAAACTTTAGAAACTTAACAAGTAATCTGTTATGAATGCTTTTAGGTGCTCTCTCCTGTCAAGGCAGAGATTACAGAGGTCCCACCAGATAACCTCTTGGAGTGGTTTCTATTCCCCAGATTTAGTGAGTCTTTGATCTTGAAAGGGTCCACAGGGTGGAGAGGAGAGCTCCAGTTCGAATCTTTCTGACAAATGCTAATGTGTGTGATGGGATAAGGAGGGTTTAAGTCATCTAAAGAAATAGCTCACCTTCTTGCAGGAATCTCTGGGAGTATAAAACAAACATCCCACTTTATAAAGATTTTGGTTAACTAGGAAAATAGCAGATGGTCTAAGAAAAGCAAAAATAACAGTAAAGAAAAATAAAACTTGAAAGTCTATAAAGAATAAGATCAGCTGTTTTATAGACTTAAAGGGAAACTTTATCAGATTGAAATTATAGTTAAATGATACAGTTAAGCATTTGTAGAGTTTATTTAAAACTTAATGACTGTAGTTCGAAATGTTTAAAATTTTAAAAATGTTTAAAATCAAAAGAATGGTGATTAAAAATGCTCCATTCATAATCTCCTTAAGAGCTTTTACAAAGGCACAACTCATGTTGTAACAATATCAGATGTACAATAAAGGTAACTTGTCAAAATTCTGAGAAATTTCTAAATTTTCATATCTTATGTATTAATCCAATTGTATTCTTTTCTGAGATAATCATCCAGAGTTAAGCTAATCCATTAATTTTCCTTCCTTTTAGAAAATAATTTATAAGTGAATACATTAATCTGTAAAACCTATGAAAGGTTAGAAAATAAATTCTTGGACTATTGGGAGAATTTTGTTTTTGTGCTTAGATTATTTTTGCTTATAACCAGTAAGATGTAGAATATTGAGTAAATATTTTCTTTGGTGAACAGATACACTTCTGTTTCTTTCAACTGAGTAGGAACTGTATTTTCTGCAAATCACGGTGCTTATCAGTCAAGAAAACAGTACCTCACATAAGGAAATTAGGGAGGAAGTGGTTAACACAATCATGCTTATGATATAGCCAGTATATACAGTGGATTGCTTTTTCTCTTGGCATAGAAATGCCTTTTGTAAATGTGATGATACATGTACAATTGCATTAGTATAAGAATCAAGCTGTAAGGTACTTGGAATTTTTAGCACTCTCATTTCTACTGAATGATTGAGGATGATATTAATGAGACACATTTTTAAAAATTCATTTTTGGATTCCTCTTTTTAGCATCCTTCAGATTGTTGACAAATTCTGTTTTTCTCTCTGCTGGATATAACGAGAACAGGTCAGACTTAGGTATTCTAGGTAGAGATGTTCCATTTTGTTGTAGGAAATCTCCCTCCCTTAGCTTTTCTATAGAATACCCATAAAACTATACAATTCAACTGCATATCCAAATGTTTTCTAAATATCCAAATGCTTGCTATTAGGCTGCTCAGATAACAATTAGGTAACCAATACATATTTATTGAACACTTACTATGCATCCAGCACTGTTGGATATATCAGGGGCTACATTAGAAGTGTAACTGAAAATTTGGCTAAACTTTTATTTTTTGATTTCACTGCAAGCATAATTAAATTCCAATCCTGTGCTCTTTTCTCCTAGAGGTTTTCTCAGGATTCCTCTTAAGGATTTCTTCCCAGCAAGAGGACAGTGTACAAAAGCAGGATCCTCTGTAATCTGAAGGATGGTGAAAAGAGCACTCCTAAATCTTTATAAAAAATGTACTTAATGGGACTGGAATTGTAGCTCAATAGTAGAGTGCTTGCCTAGCATGTGTGAGGCACTGGGTTTGATCCTCAGGACCACATGAAAAAAAATCAATAAAATAAAGACATTGTGTCAATCTACTACTAAAAAAAATTTAAAATTGTATTTTATTAATATCCATCTTGATCATTCTGGGGATTATTGGGTTGCTAAAGATCCAGATACCTCACAACTTGTTTCTCTACCTATGTGTGATTGTACATTTATATTTTCATGCCAGGAGAATATACAGTCTACATTCATTCTGCTGGCTTTTACAGACCAGTTGAGATGCTGTTTATGTCATTTAACTGTGCCTTCTTAACAAATGACTGTCTTCTTTATCTCAGTGTAGTGTGTTTTAGTCGAAGTATAAAAACAGTGAAGCTCTAAAGGCTTCCAGTTCTTGATAAGTCTATAAAAGCTAAACTTTCTTGTTCATTTTGCATCTTGCATCTTAGCTTGGCCGAGAATTTTACTGGTGAACCCTCCTAATAACTGGGGGAGTTAGGTTGGTTGTACTGCTTATTCAGACAGATAAGGAACTTTACAAGGGTTGAAGCAGTTTGGGGGTTGATTGCTTCCTGATGAGCTGAGGTGACAGTTCTCTTATCCCTGGTTAATTTGAAGACCTTTGCTATACATTTAAAACTGTAACTTGTCAGTGAATACAGTGGATTCAAAGACAGCATGACATGTTTTAAACTCTGGGGAGCTGATATATATGTCCATTCAATTTTTTTTTTTTTTTTTTGAGCTGAGGATTTAACCCAGGGCTTTGTACATGCTAGGCAAGCACTCTACCAGCCTTTAATTTCCCATCTTCACTGAGCTACTACAGAGATAACCTGTGAGAATCTGTCTGTTGACATCTAAGCAGAAAATAAACAGAATTAAGACAGGTCCAAGGAGACTGGCTGTGTGTAGCTGTCTTCAGTTAACCTTTACATCATTACACTAAGCCGGGAACATCCATTGTCCGATCTTACTGTGTGATTTCACTTTTATAACCCAAAGTTATAAAATTATGACTTTACACATTTTATAAAGTAATTCATGAATTTTATAAAGCTGTAAATTTAAAAGTTGATTCAAAGCCTGGGTTTTCAAGAATTGGATTTCATTGTACATTCAAGATTCATGAGGTTGGTTCAAATCCTCAGGCAATCACGCAGGGCTGCTTGGATGGAGGCTCATGCACACACACATGAGCGGGTACCTCTCTAATCCTTCCTCTGCCCTCAGACTGCCCCTACGGCACCTTCGGGATGGAATGCAAAGAAACCTGCAACTGCCAGTCGGGCATATGTGACAGGGTGACCGGCAAATGTCTGAAATTTTCTTTCTTCCCATATTCATCAACCAAGTCTTCCCGGAGATTTGTTTCAAGCACAGGTAAGAATTGATTCTGGTCTGGCATGGCAACAGTAATCTCATTTCTAGTTTTTAAAACTTAAAAAATGCCAGTGAATAGAATAAAACGTTGATTTGAGTGATCTTGTTTCCTTGATTGTACTCAGGAAAAGGTGGGTGGTAGTTGAGTTTGGTTGCTGTTGCTATTTTCTAAAATAATCCCATTAATAATTTTGAGATTATATACTATAATTTCTCATAAAGTTAACCTAGTTTATATGGAGGACACATAGGATTGATTACTAAAAAATCTGTAATAAAAATAACCAACTGAGATATGCAAAGTTCTTTAAATTCTTCAGTGACCTGTTTTATATATTTACTAGACAAAACTATTTCTCTCCCAACCAACTTCACATAGAAAATGTACTTTGAGGAATTTATTGGATAAGGTTTAAGAGCCAAGATAAAAAAAAATAGAGAACATTTTTTTTTAACCCATTGGAAGCATTTAAATGGAAGCATTCCAAGCATGTATTTTTATGGATTTGGGAGAGGATAAGAAATACTAACTGTAAATCAAATTTGGGAAATGAATGAATTTGTAGTTATGCTCACATGTTGCTTATAGGTCATGTACATTTCTTACACAGTTGTGAGAATATAAGGAATATATAACCTAATAAGATGGAACCATGAACATATTTGGTTATCAAGTTGATAAATGGCCTGGCTCATAGAGCTTTATTAAGTTGAAATTGACCATTTAAAAATGACACATATTTAAACAAATAAAATAATAAAAGACATGTATCACTAAAGCATATTTGTCTGTGCACAGAATGGTGACTATAATTAATAAGGCACTACATGTTTCAAAACTGCAAAGAGTAAATATTTCCACCACCAAAACCTGGCATGAGAGGTGACTGATTTGCTAGTTGTATTTAACCATTATACACTCAAAATATCACACCATGCCCCAAATATATATAATTATTGTGGAACATTTAAAATACAGATGCCTTGGAAACAGATACTATTTTGCTTGATGGACATTCATGATAGACAGCACAAAAATATTTTCACTTTTATACCAGAAATAAATATTGAGATTCTTATTAGACATTTTTTTTTTTTGGAAAAAGCATTTGGTTTTCTCCTTTTTCTGATCTGGAGTATTTAAAGATTATCAATTCATCTTGGTAAACCTTAGGTTCAAGATGGAGAACAGAAAGTTCTAAAAGATTGTGGACAGGTTGCCCAGGGACCCCTTGCTTAGTTGTGCACTTCCTACATGAGACTTTCTGGATTTGAATGCTACAGTTTACAGGGCATCACCTTTTGAGAATAGATTAAACGACTCCAAGGTTTACCAGCATAGGTTCTCTCAGAGGTCCCTTCCATTCCCTAATTGCTTGAGGTTGTCTTCTCCAACATTCTTGGACTTCCTTACCCTAGTTGTCCCATTTATTTATTTTTTTATTTGTTTATTTTGTTAGCATCCTAAGACTGGGAATTCACAAGTAACTTTTTAAAATTTAATTTTTTACTGGGGTGAGTGGGGATTAAGATCTGAAATACATCATGAATTTATATGCATTTGTCTCCTAGGTCACACTCATCTTCTTATAGCATTTCATTTCAGGATGTGCACACTGAAGCAAAGACATGTAGCAGAAAGTTTCATTTTAGAAAATTCTAAATATTATAATTTTTCTTGTGTGTAAAGCAAGAAATAGCTATATAAAAATTATACGTTTTGATCTGCCTTCTGGAATCATACCACAAAGTTAATCCCTCTTCTCTAAAGTTAGTATAAAAATCCTACTTAGAAATCTATCCTTACAGCATTTGCTCATACCATAAATATTTATTAAGTTCCTACTATGTTCCAATTGTTGTTGTATATGATGGGATGTTAGAGCAAATGAAAGAAAGTCCCTCCTTCATGGAGTTGAAATTATAGTGGTAGAATGAGATAATACAGAAAAAAATAAAGAAAATAATAGGTAATATTAGGTTTATAAACAGAAATAATGCAAAAAGGGTTATTTTAGATAGGAGGTACTGATATAGAGCACAGAATCTTGACTCTATTAAAATTAAATAAAAACAAAAAAAATTGTTTGGTCTTTGAGTTATAGCCATGTGGATATTATCTGTATTCCTTCTAATTTCAGAGCTTGACTTGGCATCTGGAGATGGCAATGCTGTCAGAGAAGAAACTGTGAAAGATAATGCTGCTCAGTCCCCTGTAATGAAATGGTTGAATCCACGCTGATCCTGGGTGGGATTTTCAAGAAAAGCTTCTATTTTAATGATTGTTCAACACTCAGCCAACATTTAAAAAATTGTCTAGATTATAGCATATGGATAAATAATTTTTGGAGGTCAAGTATGATTCAGGGTAGATTCAGGAAAAAAGAAAGTAGGCTACTTACAATCCATAAAATGCATATGATTGAACACATTTAGATATTTGTTAAATATTTGAATGCATATAGATTTGTTAAATGTGTGTGTATAGTATTAATGAAGAACTAAAAAATGCAATTTAGATAATCTTATATGGAGCCAGGTCAAAGAGAAAGCTAGTCAAAGGTGAAGACCACAGTGACCCCGTATGGGGGGTTGTTTGACTTGGATGTACATTAATGTTAGGATACGTAAAGGAGGAACAGGCAGAAGCAAGAGAAGGTAGGGAGGGGAGTGAGAGTGGGGATTATAATATTTAGCTTTTCCTTGTGTTAGCTTCAGTAGAACCTAATTTAATTGGGAGGATGGGGGGGTGAAATTAAAAAAATAAACAAACAAACAAACTAGAAAACCCCTGATGTGTGATGTTTAAAACTTGTGGGTATTTGACCTTGAATTGGGGTTGTTGCCAATGCAGCACTCAGGTGGGTTGAAGGATGGTTCTGGGGCAGAGGATCAACAATACATTTCCATCAGTATTTAAAGAATGCCTCATGTGAGATAGTACTAGGGAGTGTTTTGCCTGCTGGGGGGTGGGGAGGGATGAAGGTAAATATTTATATATTTTTATAAACAAATATGTTTGATACAGGTCATCCTCCATGCTCATATTCATCACCCTCTGGGGGCAATGAACATAAAACCACTTGTTTAAAATAGTTGCAATAAAGGTGTATAACTCTATAAGGCTTTCAAACATCTGAGGCTGGAAAATATATTATTAATAGCTATTGCATAGTAACAGTAATTAGTACAAGAGAAACGAAAAATTTAGTCACTCTGGATTTATAAAATATCAAAAAGTGAGCAACAGAGGGAATTTACTTAAAAGAAAGTGGGATGACTTAGATGTATTTAAAATCTAAAGTAGACAATAACTGATTAGGAGGTTTGGAACTGAAAAGTCAATTTCAGCAGGAAACATCAACTTAAACATATAGTGTATTTTCATATTTGTTTTCAAACTTGATTGATAAGTGGAAATAGGAGTACACTTGGGAGGATCTTAGCAAAAACAGGACTGTTGTACTAGATGTTGCTAGAAAATATTTGCAGAAGTGTTTTATTCGGAGTAAAGAACTTATTTAAGATTTATTTCCCTATTTACCTATATTTTCATCAGAGTTGTGAATGTGCGTGTGGGAGGGTCTTTGAATGTAAGCAGTATAAGCTGTTAGGTTTTGTTTTAAAAGGACAAGTTTATTATTGTTCAATAAAATGAAAAGACACAGCTGTTCCATGTCAATTGACTTTGTTAATTTGTTAAATCTTATTTATATAATGAATAAGAACTCTTTCATGCATATTAAATGATAAGCTCTTCAGCTGCATTTTCTGCTACAGATAAACATCCTCCATGAAAACAAGAGGTTAGAATATTTATTTCTTTGCCTCACATCTTTGGTCTACTCATCCTTTAGATCTTTCTAAAGAGTAGGTTCCTATATATTATTCATCCATTTTACAGAGTTTTACTTCTACCCCTGTGGGTTTCTTTTAAACCACCACCACCATCACTTCTGATGTTCTAAGGAAGTTATAGATCTAGGACCTGAAATGATGATTTCCAGGTCACTGATGGCTCCTTCATACAACACTGAAATACTAAACGTAAGAATATATTTAGTTTTGTTTTCTCTTCCTGGATTTCAACTTCTTTGAAGGCAGAAACCTTGCCATTTAACAGCTACTGCACCTTATTCTAGGTTCTGTGAGGAAACCTCCAATAGTAAATATCAAGCAGCTGTTAGCTGAAGGTTACAGTTCTAAAAATGTCAACCTATTTCCACTTTCTACAGTTTGGTATCTCATTCGTGTTCTCACTCACAATCATGACTTAGTATTTTATTTTCGTATTGTTTCTAATATTTTTCAAAATGGTTGTACTTTTAAAAATGTGGCCAAAAGACAAACCATTCTGTACCTGTGAAAGAAGAGAGTAACTCCAGGTTTGAAGTTTAAGAGTATTATATCCATGTATGGCATAACTTCACTCAGCCTTATGGGCAAATGATGAAATCTTTTAAGTGAACTGATAATATGCTAAAAAAGTTATGTCTGTATGAAGGAAAAACATTCAGTTTTTTTTAGGTTGGAAGAAACATGGTATGAATGTGATACAAAGTTATATTAGTGAAAGTTCCTCATTTTCTTATTAAATTAAAACAAATCACTGAAATCTTTACTTTCACCTATACGTAATGAAGTTTCAGGACATGCTCTTAGGCAGAGAGGTTACTTAAAGAATCTGCTGTCTTGGCTTCAAGTTCAGGCTCCAGTTCCATGTTCCTTTGTGTGGGCAGTAAAATAAGAGCTAGACTCGGGCATGACTGGCCTGTGTTCCTGGCTCAGCAGTGTGACCTTGGACAGTGTATAAGATAGCTTTTCATCGCTGTGACCAAAATACCTGACAAGATCAACTTAGAGGAGAAAAAGTTTATTTTGGCTCTTTATTTCAGAGATTCAGTTCATGGACAGCGGACTATTGCTCTGGGCCCAAGGTGAGGCCAAACATCATACTGGAAAGGCATGGTAGAGGAAAGCTGCTCACCTCATGGAGGCTAGGAAACAGAGAGAGCGAGGGAGGGGCTGGAGAGAAGATAAACCTTCCAGGGCACACACCCCGTGACCTACCTCCTCCAGCCATTGCCCCACCTACATCTCACCTCTTAACAATTCCTGCATTAGCACAGAAGCTTTTGGGGACACCTCATATCCAAACCATAACACACAATAACGTGGAACAAAGGTGGGCCCCATCTGCACTGGGTTGTGGCCATGTTTTCTAGATGTCCAGCTTTACAAGACTGTGACTGGGCCTCTTCTTGCTCTTTACTCCCAAAGCGAGTACTTGTGTATCCTCAATTGCTCTTGTGGTCTTTTGAACATATTCTTCATAGCTGTGGTCTCCAAAATATTTGTATTCTCCATGCCCCTGATTGTACACTTTTTGATTTTTTGAGAATGTGATTTTTAAATTACATGTTTATTATAGTATTAATACATTGAATTCACGTTATAATACAGATGAACTTAAAAAACACGCTTAGTCAAAGAAGCCAGTAACAAAAGGCTATATAGTGTGTGATTCACTCACACACCCAAACTAGAAACTTCAAATCGATGGGTGAAGAAATATAAATAGAAGTTCTGAGATTTTCTTTCTGCATTCCAGCGGACCATTCTGGGAAATACTGAGGAAACCAAAAATACAACAATGACAACAACAAACAAAACCAAAAACAACAACAAACAAAAACCCTAAAACAAAACAAACAAACAAAATATCATGGATGGGTGGTCTCTGATGAGGTCCAACCTCATTTGATATTGGAGAGAAATCAAGCTGGTACACCAGTATTTCTAGAATTATGGGTGAATGGGTGGGTAGATAGATAGGAGGAGAGCAGGGCAGAAGGGAAGTGGGATGGGTGAATGGATGACTGGAGGAAAGCTGCTCACCTCATGGAGGCTAGGAAACAGAGAGAGCGAGGAAGGGGCTGGAGAGAAGATGAACCTTACAGGGCACACAAGTAACAGGCCTCTGCCTTCACCAGAGCAGTGGCTGCTTAAGAAGCAGACAGTATTCCCTGCCCTTTCATCTGCCAGTTCCCCTGCCTCCCTCTATCCTGCCTGTTGGTATGTGAGGTGATTGTGACAAGTAGGGGTCTCCACTGGAGTCAGTGAATCTGGCAAATAAGATTGTCCAGGGCAACAAAGGGAGCACTTCCCCCTCAGGTACTGGGGAACGTCACCAGTGGTAGCAAAAGGGGTAAGGTAATTCCCATGTAGCCAAACTAGGTTCTCATTTCTTGTGAGAAGCAATTTGGGAGGACTTCTATTTCTATCCTGCATTTTAGTCCTTTCTTTTACCCTGATCGCCTTAGGAATAAAGGATCCATGTATGTAATTCAACATTACACAGCTACTTAAAAGGAGAATTCATTATTTCTGATTCCCTCAGTTATCCTAGTCATTAAACTAATGCCTCACATTAAAAGGGTGCATTATATAGAGTAGTGGTTTTTAAATGTTTGCATGCATCAGAATCACCTGGAGGCCTTATTAGAATACAAACTGCAGGTTCAGTAGGTTTTGGGATGGGGCCCAAGAATATTCTAACAAGTTCTCAGGTGATACAGATGCTGTTGATCCAGGGATCATACTTTAAGAGTCATCCATACAGGGAAAGCTAGGTTTGCCTAGAAGAGTATGAACGACAATCATTTTTTGGCCTTACAAAATAATACTTTGCTTTATTTATTAATCAGTTGTACATTTAATGTTTTAAAGATCCTTAATTATTCCCTGCATCTAATAGAAAAAAAAAAAGTAGGCCCTAATCTCCATCATGTGGGATTAGGCCCCAAATTCCTTAATATGACTCCTTTGGTGTAAGAATTAAAATCAAGAATCAACAAATGGGTTGGATTAATACTAAAAAGTTTCTTCTCAGCAAAAGAAATAATATGGGAGGTGAATAGAGAGCCTACATCTTAGGAGAAAATCTTTACCCCTCACACATCAGATAGAGCACTAATTAGGATATATAAAGAACTCAAAAAGCTAAGCACCAAAAAAACAAAAACAAATAACTCCATCAATAAATGGGCCAACGACCTGAACAGACATTTTTCAGAAGATGATATACAATCAATCAACAAATATATGAAAAATGTACATCATTGCTAGCAATTAGAGAAATGCAAATCAAAACTACTCTAAGATTTCATCTCACTCCAGTCAGATGGCAGCTATTATGAAAACAAACAACAATAAGTGTTGGCAAGGATGTGGGGAAAAAGGTATACTCATACATGCTGGTGGGACTGCAAATTGGTGCAACCAATCTGGAAAGCAGTATGGAAATTTCTTAGAAAACTGAGAATGGAACCACCATTTGACCCAGCTATCCCTCTCTGGGTCTATATCCAAAGGACTTAAAAACAGCATACTACAAGGACACAGCCACATCAATGTTTATAGCAGCACAGTTCACAATAGGTAAACTGTGGAACCAGCCTAGATGCCTTCAATAGATGAATGGATAAAAAATGTGGCACATATACACAATGAAATATTACTCCGCAATAAAAGAGAATAAAATCATGGCATTTGCAGGTAAATGGATGGAGTTAGAGAATATAATACTAAGTGAAGTTAGCCAATCCCAAAAACCAAATGCTGAATGTTTTCTCTGATATAAAGAGTCTGATTCATAGTGGGGTAGGGAGGGGGAGCATGGGAGGAATAGACAAACTCTAGATAGGGCAGAGGGGAGGAAGGGGAAGGGAGGAGGCATGGGGTTAGAAATGTTGGTGAAATGTGATGAACATCATCATTAAAGTACAT